ACACACACACACACACACACACACAAACACACACACTCACACAAGCATGCGGGAGGTTGGCGGGTGCTCTGGTGTGACTTGCTCCTTCTTTCCTATCAAACATCCATTTTCCTGATCTCCCTTCCTTCTTTATTGTGTTTGCTTCTCTCTTGTAACACCCCCAATCGTCGGCACTTATATTTATATGGCTCTTTGTGTTGCAAGTGCCGTTAAACTCTTACTGAAACTAAAACGCAAACACACATTCTTAAAAGTGTCTTCTGCTCGTGCGTCATAAAAAAAAAATGAACAAACAAACAAGCAAACAAAAACAAACAAAAACAAACAAAAATAGGAGAGCCACCAACACTGCAGGAACGTTGAAGTTGAAGGATGTAATAACTGAAAATTTAAAAATGTGTCTCTTCTGCAGTTCATGATGACAGAGTTCAGCAAGAACAAGGTATTTTTCCACCTTCTCATCGAGCCCAAAGACGGCAGAAAGCTCTACATCCACGAAAGTGTGGAAATTGTGGAGAAAGATGTCCTTGCCCAAGTTGTTCACTCCCCGAAGGAAAATCTGGCGTCGCGGATCTTATATAAGAGAATCAAATAACTTCCTTGGTCTTCTTTGCTGCCATTATTGTCAAGAGATCGCTTTTAAGAATCTAATTTTAGAATTAATAAAGAGAAAAAAAGGGATGAAAATATCCTGTGTTCTTGTCTTTTCTATTTGAAGAGTTTTACGGCACTTGCGACACAATAAGGTCATATAAGTGCCGAAGATTAGGGATGATACAAGAAAGTACAGTGAAGTCCACTTATAACGAGTCCTGAAATAACAAGAAGTCTGTTTTGACACTATTCTAATACCCCCGTGTTTTTCCCTTCTTCATTTTTGCAAATAAAATACTGCTCTAGGGCAATCAAACGCGCGAGTCGGTTATAGCGGAATATTGCTGCTGCTGTGAACAGCGCATAGGCCAATCACACATGTACAACCTCGCAAGTTGAGAAACTTGTTGGAGATCTAGCAAAACAAGGAATGGGAGAGCCTACGTGTGCCAACCATGAAGGCCGGAGCGAATGAGTGAGGAAGGGGTGGCATCTAGACGGTCAGAGTATAAGAACGTATAGGGTGGTATGCATAGACAAGTAGAACTACTCGCATGATAGGCCAGCCTAGTCTTGATTATCTAGGCCTACCATGCCTCTCACTTCTCATGCGGGGATGGAGAGGTCACAGTGCTGTGATGGATGGAGAGAATGAGTCACGTCGGGCGGGGTGTGTGCCCATGTGCGCAAGCAGACGGAAGAACGCACCACAGGGTGCGGTGGGGTGGGGGACAACATAGCGGGCGAGTTAGCCAAGAGACAAGGAGATTAAAAGTAAGTTCTAAGCTCCTTGCCTAGAGCCCTTTCTTTCTCATATCACCAACGCCGAGCTGTCAACATCGCTAACGTTAGAGAAAGAAATTTGATAACATTTTTGATCAAGTTAGACCAAGATGTCATGTTGAACAAAATCGCCATCAAGGGAGATAACAAAAAGAAGTAAACAGAACACCAAACTCCGTAGATTAGGCCTAGTTTATTATTTCCCTGGAATTTATTACTGGATCCCCTTTTTTTTAGTAGAGGGTTTTACGGGGCTCGCAGCTGCATAAGGTCATATGAGCGCCAAGGGGTGGGTGTCAACAGAGAAGTCTTTACAGGGAATCAGACTTACTCTGCTCACCTCTCTAGCTTCAACAGCACAAGGTCTGCTTCGACTATCATGGCATCCCAGAAATAGCGGGTCACAAGAGAGTGACAAACATACAAAAGAAGTAGAGGAAAATGATAATAGTAAGGATGAGGAAAGAAAAAGCAGCAGTTTCCAGCTGCAGATCAGGCACAGTTATGAGCGTGAAATGATGAATCAGCCCATTTACAATTCTACTATGCTTGAACGAGAAATGTACCCCCTTTGAGAATGGCCCAAAGACACTACAGTCAGTGGCACTTATCCGGGGGGTTCTGGATACCTTATGATGAGAATCCTGCTATAACTTAATAACTACAATGTGAAACGGATATTTCGCACCAGTCCCCTCCCGCTCGTTATAACAAGACTCCACTGTAATCATAATAAATACAAAAAGGAGGAACGATAGACGCTTGATAAGAAAGAATGAGTCAACCATATCAGAGCACCCGCCAACCACCACTGTCTTTGTGCGCTTATCTCAGCAGCTGCCTCTTCTTTTTTCCCCCTCAAATGTAGGTGTTTTACGCCACTATAGACACAATTTAGGTAATTAGGAGGTGGGCTTCTTTCTACCCTACCTGTCAGGTTAACCCATGCTTTCTTTTTTTTCTTCTTCAAAAGGTGTTTTTAAAGCCTCCATCGACATGGCTTAGTAGATCATATAGGCTATAGGAGGCGGGCTTCGTCCTACCCGTCAGGCCAGCCCACGCTGAATAGGGTACAGTCTCCCAGTAGAAAGTCTGAGATCTTCGATTATAAAAAATTCTCCCAACCAAGAGAATGGAACTCCCGTATTTTGCTTCAGGTTTCGAGTTTGAGTAAAGAGAAACACTTTGTTATTGACACAAAACGCGTCATTAAAATTTAGTGAGTGCAGGGAAGAAGAAAGACAGACGGACGGAAACAACAGAGGGAAAGAAAAAAGGTAGGATCTGCCAGTGTCGCCCTCCAACCACTCACTGTCTTTTGCTTGTCCCAACAAAGAGCCAAGCCACAAAACCACAAACACTGCATTACCTTGAAATTACAAAGTTCCATGTGATATTTTGGGCCGTTTTCGGGTACTAAGGCCATGAGTTCAGAAACCAATGTTCTATCTAGTCTATCAAAATCGTACTATTCGGTGCCATTATCAAGACATTCAAACAATTGCATTCGAAACAGCTTAACATTATGTTGTGAACCTCAAAGATATTTACGTCATCCTTCTCAAAACTAGGTACTGAACAGATACATGTAGAACTTTGAACTTCCAGGACAGCAACTGGTTGAAACAAGATCACTTTGCCTTTCACCTCTGGCCCTGACTCCCTGACCTTTCCCTCCGTTTTATTAGAATCAGTTGAGTACATGTAGATAGTAATAATAACCAAAGCGGCTATTCGGACTCGAGTCTGAATAGCTTCCCGTGGCTATTCGGACTCAAACTCCAATGATATGGATTCCAACATGACTTGCCAATAGGCTGATGGTTTTCCAAACTGACTCTTCTGCAGTCCTTTTAAGATTGTTTTAAACTTTAATTTGCATTTTATTTGTCCCCAAGAAAAGACAATTTTGATGACTTTACTAACATTTTGAGCTGATACCCCTGCTTAATTCAGACTGTAGAAGGATATAGTTGGTTGTCTAACACTATCAGAATATGATTGTATTGTTTAGTCCTTTTTTCATTTGAACACCATGTAAAGTATCTGTTGGAAAAGCTTTTCCTTTAGACTACTCTTACTTTGAATGACTGACTTTAGTTTGTTCCCTTTGGAAGGGTTTTAACTTTGCTCTTCTTAATTTCTAACTGGACTTCCAGTTGATCAGTGAGTCTCTCTTTCTCGTCAAATAAAGCGGATTAAGACTACCTATTGATCTGTCCCCGTGGTTTTTATGCACCCTGAATAATTTAGCAAAATTTGATCCTTTTTTTCATAATTTCTGATTATTTTCCTTCATCATTCTTTGTTAAAATTAACAGAATCGCATTATTTCACATTTTTGGGCTCAGTTCGCATAATTTCACAATTTTTCTTGCATAAAACGACGGGGACAGATTGATAATTATAATCCTTTGTTGTTCTGAAATTTAAGTAGCATCATGTAGGTGCTTTAAACTAACCCCTTCGTGGCTTATACGACGTGATTTCCAATTTCTTTCCCTGTTTTGACCTCAGACTCAGAATACATGTACCCAGATTGCCAGTTCCTCGTGTTCCTTTGTTGTGTAGTAAGTAATTCCGATTTTGCAACTGTTGTTCACTTTTGACGTCACTAAATGACTATGTATCTAATAAATCTACTTGTGTCGAAAAATTGGGGTCAGATCGTAGAAACGGAGGAAGCCGAAGGAAGAACCACTGACGTAAATTTATCTTTTTAGGTTAGTGGGAAGAACAGACAGCCTGTCCGCTTCACACCTGGTGATTGGAATTTGAGTCCGAATAGCCATGGGATGATATTTAGACTCGAGTCCGAATAGCCACGGCCTAAAACAACAGCCGGTACATGCAACTTGTCTTGGAAGCAATCGACTCTATTTTGGAGGACCATAAAATTATATGTAAAACAAATAGAAGATGTAATCCCCCCCTCCTCTCTCTCTCTCTCTCTCTCTCTCTCTCTCTC